AAAATAATGGATGCATGGAATGTTATAGTAAATCCTTCCACTGAAGATTTATATGTCGGTTTCGTTATACATTTCAGGAAGGTGTGCGAGAAATATCCAGGTTTGTTGAAATATGTTGAAAGTATAATTCTTGACCAGGCGAAGGAGAAAATTATTTGTGCATTGACCGATCAGATTAGAAACCTTGGGAATACAATAACAATCTGAGTTGAGTCTGGACATGCTACATTGAAGAATTGGTTAGGAAATAATAAGGGCGATTTGTGTAGAGATTGGGACTTCGTGAACCAAATGATCCAGAACCAACATGATGAGATACATACATCATTTGGTTGGAGCATCACAGTTTTGGAACACAAAATTAAAGACAACAATTTTTATTCTCAGTTGGTCGACAATATATCTTGAGCAAGTTTAAATTATACTTTTCATGAAGCTAAACAAGCTGATAATATAGGCTCCGATAGCGCAAAGTACGGATGCACAATTGTGAAAACATATGGTCTCCCATGTGCTTTTCTTATTGTAAAGAATGTGAAACTTGGTAGTGCATTAAGAATGGATGAAGTTTGCAATCACTGGAAGAGGCTTAGGTTTGATGACGATGATGGTGTCATGAAAGAAGGTAAATCATATATCTCTATCTTGGTCAAATGGAAAGTGATACAAGAGAGATTTTCGAAATTCGATGACAATATGAAACTCTACATTAAAGAATAATTAAGGAAGATTTCTTATCTGGAAACCACTGAGTTGAAACCACCCTCTCAACGGGTAAAAACAAAAGGTGCTCCAAAGAAGGTCAAGCCTACACTGAGTGACAATTCAACGGTGCAATCTCCTTCATATTTTGAACATGTTGACAAAGGTTTTTTTACCTCACCAACTCCAAAATCTCAAAAAAGTGTTTTTAAAGGAGCTCGCATTAGCAAACAACCTCCTTCACCGCCTCCACCAAAAATTTCATTCATTGACGAGATGTTGTTTTTTATGCACAAATACATCGAGTGGATAGTCAATGTTGAGGGTGACAATAATTGCGAATGCAAACAACTCCTCGATTACGGTATAGATCTCGACTGCATTCCTCTTAGATGTGATAATACAAGTGCCATCAATATTACAAAGAACCCGGTCATGCATTCAAGAACAAAACATATAGATATCCGGCATCACTTCCTTCGAGATGTAGATGTTACTTTCGTCGACACGCACAATCAACTCGCCGACATCTTCACCAAACCTTTGGCAAAAGAACCATTCAACAAAATTCGGCGAGAACTTGGGATTCTTGATGAAGGTGACATCTGACCTTTTCTCTAATATGTGTATGCATTATTTTTGATGTGTTTTCATGTGTATGCATTCTGTTTTTAAGCATTTTTTCAAAAATTCGAGTGTGTTAAATTTTCTAAAAATCAGAAACGAAAATTAATTAAAATTTTGAAAATATTACATATCATAAATGCATTTTTTAAGTGGTCCATATTCTCTTAAGAATCCAAATCCATATCCAAAATCATATCCCCTCTTAAAGAGTTTTGTGGAACTTCCCTCTTCAAACCCTAACTTCTCTCTCCCACTCTCTAAAGTTGGATAACTCCTCATAACCATCCCTACAACTTCTCAAACCCTAACTTCCTCAGAACCCACAACTTCAGTTCTTTCAAACTTTCATCCATGGCATCCTCACGCAAAGGAAAGGGAAAGCTTCCTGAGTATGCATCAGAATCTAATGACGACAGCATTCCAATGGAAACCACCAAAAAGAGGCGGATGGATTTCAAAGTTCGTGTTCGTCAACTTTTGCCGGTAAAGTACGTAAATCTTCGAGCTTTTCCTGCAATTTCTTTTGACTTTCCTACACTATTGGAATATTAGCGCATCGACAAGTTCGTCACCGACTCTGGTATTATTTATCCTGATCTTGTTAAAGCTTTTATGAGTAAGATGGCTATATATCTGGACATGGATGAGAACCACATGATCTGTTCCACCATTAGAGACCATGAGTTTGTTGAGAAATTATCCACCCTTGCTAGACACCTTAAGATTCCATCAAAAGGCTGCTTCCTGAGGAAAGGTGTAAACCATGTAGATGGACCTTGGGCAAATTATGATAAAATGGAGTATTACTATCAGATTTGCAGGTTCCCAAAAGAAACAGTTATTGCAAACTCTCGCACCGCTCGTATGCTGTGTTATGCCAAGAATCTGACGGTATCTGATCGAATGCTTCATTACATTATCTGTTATGTCCTCATCCCAAAGGATTCCAACCACTCTCAGATTAATGACTTAGAGATGCAGCTTCTGTACGCAATCAAGAATCGCATAAGGGTCAATTGGATTCTGACCATCATGTATCATCTGCAGCAGCAACTTCAGTGTATCACTCGGTTACCGTATGCTCAGTTGATTTCTAGAATCCTGGTATTAACTGAACTAGACCTCAACAGGGAACCTTCCTCCAAGATGAAACCTACAACTAATGAGATCAATGAGATTAATATTGTCAAAAATACTGGAATCATCAAAGCGGCTGACGGTACCTACAGGTATACCGATGACGGTCCTGTCCATCACGCGTATCCAATGCCTGAAGGGGGTCTTACAAGTGAGTTTCTGTATACAACCATGATGAACCAGCATCGAGAGTCAATGAATATGCATAGAGAGACCTCCCGAGCCATTGCCTCCCTCAGAAACCTCATTCTTAACCCTCCATATTCCAACACCCGAGTTGTGGACGAAGAGATTGAAGAAGAGGATGATAGTGAAGAAGAAGAAGAAGATGATGTGGATATGCCTGATGAGGATCTTTAGAGAATATGTTACTGTTGATATCTTTTATTGCATTGTTTTCTAGTTTTTGATGTTTTATGTTTTCATTTATGTTTGAACTCTGTTTTAATTTGGCTTTGTAACTCGTACAATATTCGCAGTATTGCTATCTTTTAATTTCAGTATGCTTTGCTTCCATTTTATTGTGATTGCTTGCATTATTGGTCTATCTAGTTTTCCTTCTTGAAAGCTCCTTCCTTTTTGCTTATGACAAAGGGGGAGAAGAGCTTTGGCTTTCTTATGTCTATGTGTGCAGAATTTTTGCCTATGTATTCGATAGGGGGAGTTCATGGACATAGGGGGAGAAAACAAGATCATTGCTAATCAGCGTCAAAAATTGCACAAGATCATTTTGGTTGTCATCATCAAAAAGGGGGAGACTGTAGAAGCAAGCTTCATCTCAAAGTTTTGATGACGTCAACATCAAGATCAAGTATAATTCATCTGTGCAAAAAGGCAAACGCTTTCAAAAGACCAAGATCAAGTGGAATGGAAGTGATCAACATTCAAAGCTTCATGAACATTTGACTGATCAATTTTTCAAGTTTTGGACACAAGCTATGGTATATCAAAATCCATTCTTTTAATTGATATACAAGTGTTCAACATCTTTATCATTTAATCACATTGCATTAGCATATTTTTTAAACTATTAGAATTGGTATAACACTATTTTTTATAAGTATTTTTCTGAAAAATAGCAGTGTTAACCGATTAACCACATAGGTTAACCGGTTAACCATTTCAAATTTTGAATATTTTGGTATAACGTTCAAGTGTTAACCGATTAACCATATAGGTTAACTGATTAACACTGAACGTATTTTGAAAAATGGCTTTGTTTCAAGTTCAAAAATGGTTTGAAAATTGTATCAGTTCATATTTTGAAATGTACTCAAATATACCTGTTGGAAAAGGTGTGTTTACACATATAAATTCTGAGTTTTTCAATTTCGAAAAACACCTCCAACATTCATTTTCAAATATCTTTAGAATCAAATTCACCATTTTAAAAATCCTTTCTAAGTGTTCATAATTGCATAAAAAATTTCATATTCATCTGTTGAACACTTGTGTTGAAAATTATAAGAGTGAATTTTGATCATTTGGAGAAGATCAATTTTGACATTGATATTATTATTCACAAAACAAAATCATTACAAATATTTATATTCTGACTTGTGATCCAGGATTGTTGGACACAAGGGTGAGTGTTTACAAGAGGATTGTTCTTGTACACTTGTTAGTTTTATTGTTTGATAGTAGGCCTCATCGGTTGATGGTGTGATAGGTTGTACTTTATTAAACAATAGTGAAAACTCTCTTTCATGTTGAAAGGGGAGTGGAGTACTCTCGGACTGTGAGGGGAACCACTATAAATCTTGGTGTCCACTGTTCTTTTATTTTCTACTGCTTTCATAACCAAGAACACAAACCAGTAAAATTTCAAGAAACCATAAAAATCGGAAAAAGTTCTAAAGTCCTAATTCACCCCCCCCCCCCCCCCCCCCTCTTAGGCATACTCTGTACTTACAGTTGGAAGTGATGATTTCAAGATTGATCGAAGATATTGCGAAGATGTTGAAGCGTCTACTTGGATATAGAAATGTAATGTTTCATTTCATGTTGAAATCACCTATGTAATGTTGATTTTATGTTATGAATGATAATTTTATTTTGTCAAAATACAAGTTTTTGGTTTCAGTCTCTGAATCTGTTGCAAATATGTTATAGAGATACATCTACAAACAAATTCTAAAGATACATCTTCGGGTTTTAAAACTCAACTACTAGAGTGCCACTCAGAATAGTCTAAACTATATTCATACTCGATACGTCTGAAAATATATCTTTAAAATCTATTTATATTTAACATTTTTATGTTATGCACTAATAATTTATACATGCATTAAGAAAATTTTAAAATTAAAGGAGAATGTCCAAAAGTTGAAATGAGAAAAATAATTTATGCACACACTCCAACAAAATCAATCGAAAAGAAAAGAGTATTTATTGGAATTTAAAAAAGTTTTATTCCATCTCCCCGCAATTTCTCGGCACATTTAAAGAGAAGCCAAAATTTTGAAATTTGACTTCTCAATCTCTCTCACAACCTTCAACCCAAGACAGGATCACATCACAGTAACAGAATCTCGATGAGTTTAGAAATGGCAGCGGAATCATCGGAAGGTGAAGAAGAAGGAAAGTTAAGCGGCGGCAACCAGATATTGACTGTCGACGACGACCTCCGAGAATTGGGGAAAAAGGCCGCCTGGAGCGTCAGTTCCTGCAAACCCGGCAACGGCGTTTCTTCTCTTCGAGACGACAATCTCGAAACCTATTGGCAGTTACTCTCACTCACTCATCTTCGCATGCATTCGTTTTCATAATTCCTTTCATTCAATTCGTTTTTTTTTCAGATCCGATGGAGCTCAACCTCATTTTGTTAACATTCAATTCCAAAAGAAAGTTCGATTACAAGTAACTAATTATATACTAGTAGTACCAATTTCATTATTTTATCAAGTTTTAGATTCTAAGTAATAACTTTTTTTGTGTGGAAATTTGGTTTTGTTTTGAGGTTTTTGCAGTTAGTTGTACTGTATGTGGATTTCAAGCTTGATGAGAGTTACACTCCCAGTAAGATTTCGATTCGCGCTGGAGACGGCTTTCATAACCTCAAGGTTTTTTCAAATTCTGTTATTAAATGGAAGTGATTAAATGTAATTATGTGTTTTGGTATTGTGTGATAGGCACGAGAGAAGTCTTTAATTTGAAGAGTTCGATGTTGATGATTGTTTTATTGATATTGGTTTTTGATTGATGATCAATTTGGTTATTCTGAACTTGTGAACAATTTTTACTTTTTAGGAGATAAAAGCTGTGGAACTTGTGAAACCAACTGGTTGGCTTTATCTTTCATTATCCGGACTTGATCCTCGGTAACTATTTTTCTTTTATGTTTTAGCTTTTTACTCAATCTCACATGTTGGTTGTTGTCTTCTTCTTACTCTGTCGAAAGCTAGTAACTTTACATACTGTGCGAACTAACCTGCAAGCCGTTTGGTGATTTTGATATACACTTATGAAGCGAACCAATGTAATCTAATAACTAATCTTCTAAAGCAGTGATTGGTTCTTTTGTTTTTTGATGCATAAATTTTACTACTTTTTCTTATAACTCTTGCTCCTTGTGCTGTGTCCTTTGATTTACTAGTTTGAAGATGTGTTTGGCAAATAATATACATAAAATGAGTGTAATGATCCCGGAAAATGAAAGTGTAAAGTTATCATGAATAAATCAATGGATTATATTATATGTACATAGCAAAGATAGCATAACAAATCACTAGTATGTTTAAATATCAATCGTCGATTCAAATCCAATAACTAAACAGTTCTATTTTCGTTTATTAGACTGTTGGATTGTGCTCTTGATTCTTATACTGAAATTCAATATGCCAGTGAAGCCGAACTGAAATAAAATTACCATGTAGTAATATAACTAGAGGATTTCTTTCTCTTTTTGATAGTATCTTATGATTGCCTTTCATCACCATTGCAGTGAAACTTTTGTCAACACATTTATGTTACAAATTGCTGTGTTGTCAAACCACCTCAATGGAAGGGATACTCATGTGCGTCAGATCAAAGTTTATGGGCCTAGACCGTATGTCTTCTTATACCTTTTAATCATTTTCTTAGACATACAGTTACAATATTTCAGCTTTTTTATGTAAACCCCTATTGCAGAAACCCTATTCCACAGCAGCCGTTTCAATTTACTTCAAGAGAGTTCATCACCTATTCTACTATAAGATGAGATTTTACGGAAGGAAAAAATCAAGCCAAACCTAGTGTGTTAAATCAAAGAACGCTTCTCAGTTCTCACTGATCAGTACCCTTTGTTTACTACTGGTATTTTATAGTTTGTTTAGATCTGCTAGTGGTATTTATAATAGGACTAGATATGACCCTTTGTTTCTTGCTTGAATTTTATAGTTTGTTTAGATCTGCAAGTGAATTTATAATATGATTAGATATGAGATCTGCATTTTCTAAGGCATCCTATTTTTATTATTTCAAGACAACAGAATGATATGTTGATATCATTTGCATTTCTTTGCAATACTCAACTTGTTATCTTTCTTCCTTCCCCCGGGAAGTAATTTTTTGTTGATGCATTTAAATTAGGAGAATTGCTATATAGTACAAATGAATACGTGCATATGACTTGTATTTCGTCGTCGAATTACTCGCACCATTTAGTGTTTTCCTTAAAATAATTATACCAATCATCAGAAGAATCTTAGAAGTCTATACATTGATCATGCAAGAGCTCCCACACACACTTACCAATCTCCCCTATGCCCTTTGCTATCTAGTTTCATCATTGCTTGGCTTTTCTGGGCCTTTTTACTTGTAACTCTTCCCAAAGTGGCAACTCTAGGAATTTAACCATTATAACTAAAATTTGAAGAATTTATCTTGCAATTTCTAAATTTGACCTAATACCTCCAATTTTTGTTAATACTATTAATTTTACCCTTAAAAAAATTAAGTTAAAAAATCTGAACGAATATAGAATAAATGAAAATTTTAATACAAATTAAAAAAATCTGATAATGTATATAAAAGGTCTGGTATCATTTATACCAGTTTTATTTTAAAAAATTGGTCTGTGAAAGAACATGTCTTTTTAAAAAAAAACCCATGTCGTATCAGATTTTTTTTTAAAATCTTAAAAAATTGAGTAGTGTAAAATTACTATTTTTTATAAATAAAAAAAAAACTCCTATATTTATCGGACTTCTGATGAGTTGCAAAAAAATTTGATATTGTAATTTCAAGGGTTGAGATTTTGTCAACAACTTTATACGATTGTGATTGCACTAATAGTTGTGTGTGGTTCAGAAGGAATCCAAACTTGTATAAATAGAGATCATGTGTTGTTAAAAAGAACATTTTTAAAATGTCTCACTATTCGTTCATGGCATGTGTGTACTTCAACGTGGTGAAACCTCCGACTGATTTCGGGCTTCCGAAGGACACCACTTGTCTCGCTCTTCTAAAATCCAAATTGAATAATATGTTGAGAACAATAAGGTGAGTAAGATCGAGTTTCTTGCATCATGGGTTGATACTGATGGAAGGATGAAATATGATCGTATTGAGCCGAAGGCTGATGAAGATTTAAAGGTTATGCGGAGAACAACATATCATCGTAGGCTATTTGTCAAATGTTAAGTTATATTCATCTTGCAATAATGGAAATGACAAAATGTTATCTAATAAACTGTACGGTGCAAATGTTTGAGTAATAATACACATACTATACAATTAATACAAAAATGAGAATAATGTCTACATAGGTCCCCACGAGTTAAGTGTGTTTTCTGCGATGCTAAAGTTAAACTTCACTATTAAGGTTTACCAAACCAATGAAACTATCCCTAATGATTGCTATCATCTATAGATGCTGCTAGTCATCTTGTTGGAGTAAGCCATGATAGTATTCAATATTGGTCATACATGTTTTTGTATCATCATATATATATATATATATATATATATATATATATATATATATATATATATATATATATATATATATATATATATATATATATATATATATATATATATATATATATATATATATATATATATATATATATATATATATATATATATATATATATATATATATATATATATATATATATATATATATATATATATACACACACACTGTTCTGACCTGGGCCCCGGCATGGCCAGGCAGGCCCAACCCAGTAATACTCTGCCAAGTCCAATCCAGTTTGGGCCGTAGCCGTCGAGCACAGGGTACCCGACGAGCAGGTAATGTCCCTCCGCGAGCAGGACCTGCCTCAGCTACGTCGGGCACAAGACTCCCCCATCGACCAAACACTGCTCTCTTTACGGGCAGAACCTGCCCCTCCGCGGGCAGGCCAACGTGTTCTTCACACGTTCTCCACGTGCTCCCCTTCGCGGGGACACGTCACCAACCAACTGCCCACTTCCGAAAGAGCAGGTCAAACCCACTTTCCAGAGATCACAGGACAATTGGACTAGGCCGAAAACCACGTTCTGGTCTTCACTACGCCACGTAAGCCCTAGCAGTCACCTGGGTTGGGCCTGGCAATTCAGCCCAACACAAGTGACCGTTGGCCCAGCGCTGAAGTCTCTCTATAAATACCCTCTTTCACAAGAGGGTCAGGTAATTCACTTCTTACCCCTTTTTGTATTTGATTTCACTCTACCCAATTCCTTACTTTGGCATCAGAGTGTCTTGCAGGTACACCCCCCTCTTCATCTTCATCACCGGTGAACAGGTAGTATCTCAACAGAGTGTGACCAGCTATTGATCCCCTTCTGATCAGGTCAGATCAGTGGCGCCGTCTGTGGGAACTTGAAACTTCCCCGTTCCTCCGAGCAGCGAACCAAAGTTTTCACCAACATTCCGCGATCATGGCTAGCCCACACCACGACGATGTCGTTCCCGACTTCATCCTCGCCCCTGTCGCGAATGGAGGCAAGCAAACAAAGATGTCTCGTCCTTCGGAGACCGACGAGAGAGACGACCAGACTGCCTCCCCTTCGTCCGCAGAAGCTACACACCAGACTGCCCTCCGACCAAAGAGTCCAGCAGCGTTCTAGCCCATTCCTGTCCCGGCCGGAGCGGGCCCGACTGTGGCCTCCCTCTTCGTGGCCATCAACCAGACGAACCAGTTGTTATTTCAACAGAATGCACGAATTGGCGCACTAGAGCACGAGGTCCCGCCAAGGTTCCCTCTGCGGGAAGACCAGAATGGGAACTCGAGGAGTCCCTCACCGCGCCCCACGGACCGACGACCCTCGGCTGGAGAGGCCCCAACCCAAAGTAGTGCGGGAACGGACGAGGTCCCCAGCGAGACAAGTTCGGGAGAGACGGCAGACCAGAGTGGATCCCCCGACCAAACCTCCGCGGGTCGAACCCCCGGTCAGGAGGTCGAGGGCACGAAATCAGGCACCCCCGCCAAATGGCCCGTCACCCCCTCGGTCACCGACTCTCAGTGACGAAGACGACTACAAGACCCCTTTGTCCCGAGAAATCATGGTCGCCCCCATTCCCCACGGGATGGAGAAACCCTCGGCACTCTCGACGTAAGACGGCACCTCCGACCCAGACGATCACCTGGAAGACATCGAAGCCAGGCTCGACTACCGGAACGTCCGCGGAGCTATCAAATGTAGATTATTCCCGACAACGCTGAGGAAATGTGCCATAACATGGTACAAGAGCCTAGAGCCGGAGTCGGTCACGTCATGGAGAGTCTTGAAGGACCTCTTTTCTAGACACTTCACAGCATCCCGACGCCACCCGAAGACGGAAGCCACGCTGGGCGCCATAATCCAAGCTCCCGACGAACCCCTCCGGAAGTACATCGAAAGATTCACACGGGAGGCAGTACAGGTAACGACGTCAGACGAGATGAAGCGTTACTTAATGGAACAAGGTCTGCGCCGAGACTCCAAGTTCTACGAAGTCGTGGCCATACACCGACCAGCCTCTCTACAGGACTTCCTCGACAGAGCCGCGCATTATATCAGGTTCGAGGAATCCCAAACGGCCAACTCCGCCCGGGACACGCGAGACAGAGAGACCCCCCGCGGGCACCAAGAGGACGGAGCCTCGAGCCACTGGCGCGGAGGTGATCGCCGACAGGAGGATCGTCCCCGCGAACAACGCGGTCCAGCCGGCCGGTTCACGGAGTATACAGCCCTAGTCGCTTCCCGCGAGCGCATACTGGCCGAATGTGCCAAGACGGAGTTTGTCCAGGGAGGTGTCCGCTTCCCCAGACCGACACCCCCAAGCCCAATGTAGACAAATTGAAGTATTGTCGTTTCCATAGGAGCCACGGGCACGTTACAGAAGACTACATCCACCTCAAGGACGCGATCGAAATCCTGATCAAAGATGGCCACCTGAAGAGATACACCTGGGGAGGAGAAACCCCGAGGCAAGACACCCCCGAGCCAAGCGTGTCGAGGACCTCCCCTCTTCAGACGGTGACAACGGCCTCCAGGCCGCCCTCTGCGTCAGCCGCCCTGAGGATTGGTTCACTCACAGAGAGTTAGGTCTCCCCGACAGAACTGACCTTCCCGACGAGCCGGTGCGCCCCACCAGTCGATGGGAATATTTTCCGAGGGCCATGGTCATCTCTGGCGGATCCCCGAGGAACCTATCCGTAGGATCGGTAAAAAGAAAGTTCGAAGAACTCATCACCAGCAACTCTGGTAAAATGAGCACCCTCGACAAATTTCGCGGCCGATCCAACCCGATCACCTTCTACCTCGAGGAACTTCCCGGGGGCTCCCCCAACTCTAACATCCCCCTACTGATACGGGCACGGATGGCGAACTTCGATGTCAGACGCATCCTGGTCGACGGAGGAAGCTCGGTGGACATCATGTACCCCCACCTTTTCACGACCCTCCAACTCGACGAATCCAACCTATCCCCCTACGTGGGCTCTGACCTCCAAGGGTTCAACGGGACAACAACGAGACCGTGGGGATACGTGGAGTTAAAGGTCACATTCGGGGAGAAGGAAACTGCCAGGGAGATCAATATCCGCTTCCTAGTCATCGAGTGCCCGTCCCTCTACAATTGTATCCTAGGCAGGACGATGATGGCAGAACTCACCGTGGTGCCCTCCACCGTCCACCTAAAGATGAAATACTACACGAGGCAGGGGGCCGTGGTAACCCTGAATGGCGACATAGAGGCTGCGCAAAGATGCTTCGAGGCCGCGCTGA